CTCGGTTTATCCCTTGCACCCATCCATTGCTTTATACACAAGCCATCCTCCTTTTCAGCCCCATGTTTCTCTCACTGCCTTTGTCCACGCTACCTTGCCTCCCATCCTCCTTACGATCTAGGATCCGATGGCGGATCATCCAGCTTCGAGGGTGTGCAGCTTGTTTAACCAGCGTCATTGTACTGTCCACTGGAAACTCAGGGCCCCTGTTTGCTACCTGCGTGTGGGGCTTAGCGTGCTTATGCCTGACAACAAATTGGCTACACATAATGATCTATTATCAGTCTACATGCAAGCTGCGCCACATGTCACAGAGAGACTAATGAGAGGAGCAACACGCAGGTAACCATGGGGAACATGGGTGAGGGTCTGAGATGAGTAATGCACATAATCTACTGTGCCTTTCGTTAATATGCTTGAATGCTTTTGCCACAGGTGCTGGCCCTGGAGGAGAGAGATCTGGCCAGGTTGTGAATTTGCATCTTGAGTCTGAATCGAAGGCGTTCTGGAATCGCATGGGGAGAGGGACCACAACAGTGGAGGATCTGCTTGCGAGGCCAGATAGGAAGCTGAAGGGCGTAGAGTTTAACTTTCCAAAGTGGGAGAGAGGAGAAAACGGCGAGCCAAGAAGAGTTGGAGCAAACGGATGGGGCGGAGCGCGCAACAAGTCGCGGCGGCAGGCCATTCTGTGGAAGGTAAGAGCTTTCATAGGCACTCGTTTAGAGCATGTGTTATGCGTTTGAGAGATGGCTCTGCTTTCGGATGAGTATCGTACCTCACTCCGGCCCACTGGCCTGAATGATGTTCCCCCCGGCCCTGCCCAGACTGAAACGCCCCAATGCCCTGCTATTCTCCCTTGCCCACCCATAGTGCTGCTCTTGCCCTCCTTTAGTTGCGTTCTCTTCCCCCAGCCCCCCTCCCCCGCACCGCCCTGAATTCTGTTCATGCCCGCCCTGCCCTGAATTCACTTCCCCCCCTCCTTCCCTTGAATACACTCCCCCCTGCCCTGCCTTGAACTCTGTTCCCCCCTACCCTGCCCTGTTCTCTGATAACCCCCCGCCTTGCCCGGAACCCTGGTCCCTCCCCCGCCCTGCCTCGTATTCCCTTCCCCCCCCCTGCCCTGCCTTGAATCCTCTTCTTCCCCGCCCCGTCCTGAATCCACTTCCCCATCACCCTGTCTTGACTTCTGCACTCTGTTATTTGCGAAACGTTTACTACTCCCCCATGCCCGGCCCTGAATGCTCTTCCCCCGTGCCCTACCCAGAATGCACTACCCGCCGGCCTGAACCCTGAATTTTGTCCCACCGCATGAAATCTTCGCCCACATAAGCCTTGCATGCAGATGAGGAAGTCCCTACACCGTGCTCCTCGGCTGACAACCTGGATGGAGTTGAAGGGGTGGGCGTCGAAGATGGTACACAACCGAGTGGCGCTCAAGCGAGCGAACACAGCAGCGGCAGGCCTGAGGGGCAAAACAGGTACAAGCCAATTCTATTATTTGTTGGAAATTTTACTCTTACAACAAACTCTCACTTCTTGATGAGACTTAGAGTAGTACGTGCACACGCTGATAATTCTACCCGACTATTGGATTCCGTTTTTTATTCTATGCTTGCAGAATGGATGCAGGCAGTGTGACGCACAAGCGTCGTTGGCCGCGTGGTTGGCCAAGCCCCCCAAATTGGGTGGATTTTTCAACGGACATGGTCTGTCTTCTCGATCCGAGCGTGATGGTATCGTTCTTTTGTGGTCGGGCCTTACGCACTTGCGTGAAGTCAGGGTGCAAAGGTGCAATGCAACTAGAGTCGTGGAAACGGTCATGGGCATGCCTAGGGTTGATGTGGTTGTGCAATGTGTGCTCAGCCAAAGAGGAGTTCTGGTCAAGTAGTCGAGTGAGGGATGACTTACCACCTAACAAGCGTGGTCCACGTAGTCCGCCCCTGATGGGTAAGCTTATTGGTGCATTCGCTCTTGCCGGGATCGGGTATCTGCAGATGTGGGAGGTATGTCGCACAGTCGGCGTGCCTAGGCCAGGGCACGAGACATATTACAAGTGTTTGAAGGGAGATGATGGATTGTGGGGTATAATAATAGTCCAGGCCAGTCAAAACATGTTGCGCGTGCGTACAAGCATGTCGTTGCGTCCAGGTCCAAGGTGGTTATGTGTCGACGGGAGGTTTTCACAGGTGCGAGAGGCGAGGCATTGTACCGTAACATTCATAGATAGAGAGAGTAGGAAAATCATGCTCTACAAGAACACAAAAAAACATAGGGATGACCGAGCATCTGTTAAGCTCGAGAAGATTGCTTTTGACCAGGGTATGGACGAGCTTGAAGGTGATGGGTTTCGTGTGGATGGCATTATAACGGATGAGGTTAGCAGTTTCAAAGGTGCTGCTCGAGACAGAGGGCTGTGCCATCAACTGGACTGGTGGCACAAGTGTGGGACAGAGATTAGAAGTTTCCATTCGGAGGTACAGGATGCTACAAGGAAGGTGGGTGCGGTGGCAGCTGCAACCACGTGTGAAGATTTGTACTTGATCACCAAAGTCAAGTTATTGGCTTGGTTGCGAGGCGCATCCAGCGCATCCAGTGATGGAACGGAGCTCGGTATGAGCTCGGGGAAGAAAGAGCTCATACAGGAAGTGTGCAGACGGCGTGGTTGAGCGTTCAAAGATATGGAGCCTGCCGATGCAAAGTGGTTACACCTTGAGCTCCAGCAAGTGCTGCAAAGTCGGGGTGATGGGAGCGCAAGACCGGTCAACATAGAGGTGCAAGGGGAGGCATTACCTGATGGCATGGCTCAACCTCAATCACGGGGCGAGCTTGGAGATGGGGGGGTGGAGAATACGGATGGTACACGTGATGAGACGGCCACAGTATTTAGTACAGTGGCCGGATGTGGCTGAGCTATGGGGCTACGACGCGCATCCAATATATGGAATACGGCCGTCGTCGCATGCCTCTATGGTGCTCATACGGGCCTGGAATGGGGATGAGGGTGAGTTACCATCCACTGTTTCCCTTCCTCCCTTTCCCTGTTTCTCCCTTCGAACCATCCACTGTTCTTCCCTACCTACCTACCCTCTGTAAGCCCTGTTTTCATTTTCCTCGCTTCCTCTGTTTGATTACTCTCCTTGTCTTCCTCGATTTTCCCTTCCTCTGATAAACCCTTCCTTTGATTTTCCCTTCCTCTGTTCCCTCCTTCCTCCATCCCACCAGTCCACCGTTTGTCTGTTTTACCCTTCCGTCATCCCTTCTACTGATCTCCCCTTTCTTTGTTCCTCTTTTCCATCTCTACCACCCTTCCAATGCTTTTCCTTTCATCACGTCATCTGCTCTCTCCTTCCGTCCCACCTTACTTTTCCCCTTCCGGCATTCCTCTGGTTCTTACGTCCACTAACCCTCAGATTCTCCATTGCATCCATCCTCTGATTCTTTTGGCTTCCACTGTTTTTGCCCCTCCGCCCCATGCCATCCTCCATACCTCTCCCTCGCCATGCGTTCATCATCTTCCACCAATCCTCGTATTCTGTTATTCCATCCCGCTCATCTTATTACACCTACTTTTCACCCCAACCATACTTTGGTAGGTGCAGGCGCCCAAGATGGGGTTCCGGAAGAGACGGCGCCCGGAAACGTAGGAGGCAGCCAAGCCACTTCAGATAGGGCTGGTGAGAGAATCGGCGCCGGAGCACCTATCCTCTGTTCGTCCGTTTTGCCCTCTCGTCCTCATTTCCATTCATGTGGTTTCCCCCCTTGTTCATTTCCTATTTGAGATCTACCTACGTATCCTCTGTTTTGAAGCTTTGTCTCCCTTCCTCTGTCTCGTCCATTTCGCCATACCTCTGGCTCTCTCGCCTCCCATTCCCTGTTCCTCCGTCTTCCATACGTCTGATTTCCCCTCCTTTGTTCCTCTCTTCCATCCCTACTACCCTTCCAACGCATTTTCATTCATCACGTCATCTGCTCTCTCCTTCCGTCCCTCCTAAGTTTTCCCCTTCCTGCATTCCTCTGGTTTTTCCGTCCACTAACCCTCAGATTTTCTATAGGCATCCACTCTCTGATTGTTCTCGCTTCCACTGTTTTTGCCTCTCTGCCCCCTGCCATCCTCCATACCTCTCCCTCGCCATGTGTTCATCATCTGCCACCAATCCTCGCATTCTGTTTTACCATCCCGCTTACACTTCACCCCAATCATACTTTGGTAGGTGCAGGCGAGCAAGATGGGGCCCGAGAAGAGACGGCGCCCGGTAACGTAGGAGGCAGACAAGCCACTTCAGATAGGGCTGGTGAGAACATCGGCGCGGAAGCAACTGCAGTAGACGGAACTCCTAGGAGGTGGGGACGGCGAAGGCAACGTAGAAGAACACGCCGAGGACATGTAGACGGCGTCAACGGTGAGGGTGCGATTGAAGCGAGGGCAAAGGAGGTGACGGTTGCTGACCATCTTGGTGTGCATTTTTATCACTGTATGATGCGCTCAGGAGTGTTGGCAAGGGAGGGAAACACTCGGTCTTGTGAAGATGTCTCAGCCGAACTATGCCTTGCGGCGGATCATTTTGCTGGAGATCATTTTCGGTGCAATAGGGGCGGATCCGTAGCACCGAGATGTGTCACTGAAAACTGGGGTGAGGAGAGTGCAGTATATCTACCAAACTCTACGACTCATTTAGCGGTGCGCGAGTGGTGTCACAGGCATCTTAGTCCAGAAAAGGTCGCATGCATTGTGGAGGGTGAACTCCATGAATGAATCATTTCACTCTCTCATCATCAAATATGCGCCGAAACGCATTCTATTCAAGGATAGTTACGACCCGCGAATCGCATTGACGGCTCTCCACAGGAACAACACCATGGACCGTGTTGTTCGAGCATATGTCACTCGTGTGAGACATCTGACAAGAATGAGACGAGGACGGAGGGATCGGGTGCTTGGCCCGATGGATTGGACTTGGGTCGACGATGTTTTGGGGGAGTGGCAGCGACCATTTATGGAATCAAGGGCGGAGGGCGGAGTATCCGCCGACATCAGTGGTACTCCAGTCCCACAAGGGATGGCGGGGGGGAGTCACCACAAGCAGAATCTCCTGCAGCGCCTGAGACACCCCACGGGCTTCCGGTTGGATCGGGAGTCACCCACACGACACATGTCAACATGCGTGGTGCCCGTCGTAGTTTATTTGGTAAGACTATTGCATTTTCCGCATCCAGTTGCCGCACTATAGTCTTCTTGTTTTTGGTGTTTCCTTTTCTTCTCACTTATTGTGTCTTTCAGGTGACTTGGCCTCGTCACCACGCTGATTTCGGGACGTCTGTCACGCCAACTTTCAGATCCTGGCGCAAACCTCTCGCGTTCTCAAATCTGTTGCGGTTGTACATCTACAGTGCATGCCCGTGTTCAAATCCTGGCGTCTCTTGGTCCTTCATATTTTGAACTCTCCACGTTTCATCGGCTGCGCTACCGGATAACAATAAAGTTGGCATTGCAAGGCATGGAACCGACTCTACGCCGGCATGCCTGAGACCTCAACAATGTAAACATGAAAGTCATGAACAGCTCCGAGTTTTGCAACTCCTATTTTCATTGTGTATTACAAGACACTCTCAATTTGCAAGCTTGAACCATACACATTGGCTAATTTGAACAGAGATGGCTGCCGTAGTTCCCTTCATATCAATGTACATACGCCTACTATGAATCATAACAATATACAGCGCATGTTCCTGAACGGTGGTAAGTAACATGGCTTCTTGCACGGTAAGGTTCACCTGCATATCCATACAAGGGAGGATGAGAGGAAGGGAGGATGAGAGGAAGGGAGGATGAGAGAAAGGGAGGATGAGAGGAAGGGAGGATGAGAGGAAGGGAGGATGAGAGGAAAGAAGGATGAGATGAAGGGCGGATGAGAGGAAAGGAGGATGAGATGAAGGGAGGATGAGAGAAAGGGAGGATGAGAGGAAAGGAGGACGAGAGGAAGAGAGGATGAGAGAAAAAGTGGATGAGAGGAAGGGAGGACGAGAGGAACGGCGGATGAGAGGGAGGGAGGATAAGAGGGAAGGAGGATGAGAGGAAGCGATGATGGGATGAAGGGAGGATGAGAGGAAGGGAGGATGCGAGGAAGGAAGGATGAGAGGAAGGGCGGATGAGAGGGAGGGTGGAAGAAGGGAAGGGAGGACGAGAGGAAGGGAGGATGAGAGGAAAGGAGGATGAGAAGGAAGGGCGGATGAGAGGGAGGGAGGATAAGAGGAAAGGAGGATGAGAGGAAGGGATGATGAGATGAAGGGAGGATGAGAGGAAGGGAGGATGCGAGGAAGGAAGGATGAGAGGAAGGGCGGATGAGAGGAAGGGGGGATGAGAGGGAGGGCGGTTGAGAGGGAGAGAGGATGAGACAAAGGGCGGATGAGAGGAAGGGAGGATGAGACGAAGGGAGGATGAGAGGAAGGGAGGATGAGAGGAAGGGAGGATGAGAGGAAAGGAGGATGAGAGGGAGGGAGGACGAGAGGAAGGGAGGATGAGAGGAAGGGAGGATGAAAGGAAGGGAGGATGAGAGGAAGGGCGGATGAGGGGGAGGGAGGACGAGAGGAAGGGTGGACGAGAGGAAGGGTGGATGAGATGAAGGGAGGATGAGAGGAAAGGAGGATGAGAGGGAGGGAGGACGAGAGGAAGGGAGGATGAGAGGAAGGGAGGATGAGAGGAAGGGAGGATGAGAGGAAGGGCGGATGAGGGGGAGGGAGGACGAGAGGAAGGGTGGACGAGAGGAAGGGTGGACGAGAGGAAGGGAGGACGAGAGGAAAGGAGGATGAGAAGGAAGGGTGGATAAGAGGGAGGGAGGATGAGAGGAAGGAGGATGTGAGGAAGGAAGGATGAGAGGAAGGGCGGATGAGAGGAAGGGCGGATGAGAGGGAGAGAGGATGAGAGAAAGAGAGGTTGAGAGGAAGGGAGGACGAGAGGAAGGGAGGATGAGAGGAAGGGAGGATGCAAGGAAGGAAGGATGAGAGGAAGGGCGGATGAGAGGGAGGGCGGAAGAAGGGAAGGGAGGACGAGAGGAAGGGAGGATGAGAGGAAAGGAGGATGAGAGGAAGGGAGGATGAGAGAAAGAGAGGATGAGAGGAAGGGAAGACGAGAGGAAGGGAGGATGAGAGGAACGGCGGATGAGAGGGAGGGAGGATAAGAGGGAAGGAGGATGAGAGGAAGCGATGATGAGATGAAGGAAGGGGAGGACGACTGTAGGGGAACGAACGAACAGAGTAAGGGAGGAGGGCAGGGTATAAGGGTGGAACGGGGGATAGGAGGATCCCTGGACCCTCTCTCCCTCCCCTCCGCCTCCCCTGCCCCGCACCAACCCCGCATCCCCTGCCCCGCCTCCCCCGCTCCCCTGCCGTGCCCCTTGCAGCACTGCGCTCCTTGCTGCCCGACTGCACGCGCCGCCGCGGCTGTGCGCCCAGCGTTCTGCTCCAAAGCCGCAGCAGCACCTGCCATACGTGCGGGGTTGGTGCAAGAGAGAGAAGGGTGGGTGCTGCTGACCACGCACCCTCCCACATCCCACCGCTCGCGAGTCACGACCCCATCCCTCGCGCTCGAGACCGGCCCGCCGTACGTCCGCGGCCAGGGTGGGTGAGAGGCAGGGGGGGAGGGAGAATGAGAGAGAAGGAAAGGAGGGTGCAAGGGTGGGGTGGTAGGAGTAGAGAAGGTGGCAATGGGGAGAGCGAGAGGGACCAAATGCGGCAATGGGAAGGGAAGCGACGACGAACCTAAAGACGATAGGCACGGATGAGAGGGTGGGCGGCGTGGGTGGAGAAGCGATGGTGATGAAGAGGGGGAACGTGATAGGCAGGGGAGTGATGACGACGTGGAGAGAGGTGGGAGGGAAGGGAGGTCGGCGGGGAGGGAAATTTCCAGGCGGCTGGGAGGACGATGGGAGGGGAAGCGTGGGCGACGGTGGGGGGAAGCGTGGGCGACGGTGGGGGGAAGCGTGTGCGACGGTGGGGGGAAGCGTGGGCGACGGTGGGGGGACGACTTGGTGACGGTAGGGGGAAGCGTGGGCGACGGTGGGGGAACGACTTGGTGACGGTGGGGGGAAGCGTGGGCGACGGTGGGGGGAAGCGTGGGCGACGGTGGGAGGAACCGTGGGCGACGGTGGGGGGAAGCGTGGATGACGGTAGGAGGAAGCGTGGGAGACGGTGGGAGGAAGTGTGGGCGACGATGGGGGTTGCGTGGGCGACGGTGGGGGGAAGCATGGGCGACGGTGGGGGGAAGCGTGGGCGACGGTGGGGGGAAGCGTGGGCGACGGTGGGAGGAACCGTGGGCGACGGTGGGGGGAAGCGTGGGCGACGGTGGGGGGAAGCGTGGGCGACGGTGGGAGGAACCGTGGGCGACGGTGGGGGGAAGCGTGGGCGACGGTGGGGGGAAGCGTGGGCGACGGTGGGAGGAACCGTGGGCGACGGTAGGGGGAAGCGTGGGCGACGTTCGGGGGAAGCGTGGGCGACGGTGGGGAGAACCGTGGGCGATGAGCTTCCCACCGTGAGGGAAGGTGGGGGAAGGCGTGAGCGACGATGTGGTGAAGCGTCGGTGAAGGCAGGAGGAAGCGTTCGCTGCGGTAAGGGGTAGCGTGCGCGTCGGTGGGGAGGAGCTTGGGCGACGGTGAGGGTTCGCGTGGGTGTGCGTGGGGGGGTGTGTGAGAGGCGGTGGGGGGAAGCGTGGGGAACGCGGAAGGCGATAGGGCCAAATGCGATGTCCGCGGGGTTGCGTTGCCAGGGCGAGCGAGTGAGAAAACGTGATACGCCACTAACATAGTTGCTGTCATCATGATAAGCTACGACCACCAATCCCGTCGGGGTTTCTATTTTGGCCGTAGGATATATTTTCCCTGGAGTTCTAAGGGTCCCGTAATGAAGGTGGAAGTGCTCGTGGCCTATGCTATATTGGCGTTTTATTCTGTCTCTTGGAACAATCTAAGAGTACTATGAGTACAAGCACGACCTGATTTACCATGTAGGCAAACTGTGCACACTTTGAGCGGTTGTTCCTTGTGGAGGGTGTTGTTGGGACTCTCGCCAACCACTCCTGCTCTGCTGAACAACTCAGTTGTTTTTTTGTATGCGATCTTTTCTGGTAACCAGCCTGGCTCAAGAGGTCAGCTGTGGGTTCGGTTGGCAAACTGTGCACAGTTTGCCTTTTTTTATTCTAATTCAGGTCTTGGGCTTTAAATTCATGACGTAGCGGAGAAGTATTTTTTGTGCGATTTCAGATTTCAGTCCCACGACGTAGCTCAACGCGCTTCTCCTCGTGCATGTATCCCACTTGCTCATACAGCGCCAGGAATCCATTAGTGTGGTCTTCCACGACGCCGCGGTTGGCTCGAACCTCCCGTGCAGGCCCGCACACCATGCATTACACGTGCGATACTGGGTTACTTCGCAATACGACAGTGCCCATGGTATCGTGGGTCCAGAAGGTCCCTCCTCTTGCTGTAGCGGCTCGTAGTTGTTCTGCGTAGTGACGATGACACGCTACGAATCTATGGTAGGTCCTCGCAATAACGACACGGTGTATCGAATTTTGGTCGCGTTCGACGTGACGTAGTTGGCATCAGGGCCTCATAAGTCAGCGAAAAAGGGCTGAAAAAAAAAAAAAAAAAAAAAAAAAAAAAAAAAAAAAAACGTCTAGATTTTAGTTTTATTTTATTTTATTTTTACCGAGGCTTATTTTCCAATCGTTTTGTTGGAACATGAAAATTTATCAGATTTCTATTGTCAAAAGGCATTTTTGTCTAATTTTCAATGTAATTTTTTTTACCAACTCTGATCTTTCACACTAACCCAAAACCGATTTGGAGCCCTGGTTGGCGAAGAAAACGTTCATAGTAAAAATCCACAATTGAACCGTTGGACCACCCCGTTGACTCGGGTCAAAGCACTGGGGACGCTGAGCCTGGAGTGGTATGGGTGATGCGATAGCCAAATCATCGTTTTTGTTTTGTAATGTTGACCCGACGACGGTCCCACGCAGTGATTCCGCCACAGTCGTTCCTCCGGGGTGTGTCGTCTCAGAATTAGGTAAGCGGAATGGTGTGACTACCGTCATCGCCCGGATATAAGACATATATGTCTTATCTCGTACACGGGCAAAAATGCTTGAGTTATCTTGTAAACGGGATGGTTTAGGGTGTCTTATAAGTCTTATAAATGGAAACTTTTTAAACTACTTAGAAATATTTTCCGTACTTCTTGAAAAAGAGTTTCTCATAATGAGTGTGGATGTTGCGAAGGTGCCACTTCGACAACCTCTGCCCGGGACGCCATGTTATGGAGAACACCTGCAGGGGCAAATTTGGTAGGTCCTGGGTCAGCGCGTGGAAGAATTCGCGCTTCGCAAGGGTAAAAATGTACGCGGTATTTCAACTTTCGCTATAATTTATTGAAGTTTCGATTATAAGACATATACGTCTTATCTCGTACACACAAATAGGTGTTTTATAATGAGGCTAGCCTGTTTATAAGAGACACCCGTATAGTAGACAACCCCTGTCTACTATTCAACACTGTCTTATATCCGGGTGATGACGGTAGCAAGGGTTGGGATACAAATACATAACCATAAAACAGTTGTACCCCCTATTGCATGCCTCACAATAGCCCACAAACATATGCAACATCTGACATGCCGTCCTATGTTTGCCGCACGTATCTTCGCGTGCGGCACCATTATTGGCGGCGGCTGCGCGTTGTCCCTCGATCTTGTGTCTGAACGGCGCTGTTGCTACCGGTGCTGCTTGTGGTGCTTGTCTTGGTACAGGATTTGCTGCGCTGTGGACTGAGCCTCGTTCTGTCGTCAGCGTATTTCTAGTGCGTTGTCTTGCAGTTGCGGCATTATCTCGTCCAGACGTTCGTGCGTGAGGTCGGCGACGTTAATGCGGTCGCCCATGTCGAAGGACATCGGTCGTGACTGCACGTGCTTACGAGGGAGCACGAGGGCAGCGGCTCCTAGTACTCTGAGTGGCGTCTATCCCTTTCAAGTGAAAAATCAATAGTTCGAGAGTTGCTGGTTGCGAAAAAATGCACGGTCCGAAGAAAGTGGCTCTGATAACCATGTGTTACAGGTGCAATTGAACGAGCAAGCGAGTGAAAATTGCACTAAAAAATCAAACGAGTACAAATGTGAGCGAATGCATGGACGAACATTTATAGCGAACAATTAAAACGGTAACGCGGTGTGTGCGAGCTATCTAGTGCGACGCTGGCAGCGAGGTTCGGGCTAGCCCCGAAGCGTAGGCCAACTCGGCTCGGTCCAGCAGTGCGAGGTTTGGCAAAATTGACTCGCGAAGTGGCGAACACCGTTAATTTGTATCAGGCAAAGATACAGTTCGTGTTGTACGCAGTGCTGAGGTGCGCAGTAAGGAATCCGAAAAAAACCATTACAGCTTATGGAATATCTTTTTTTTTTTGCGTCACAAATGCGCATATTGGGACAAAAATGTATATACCCCTCTTGGATGCCATGTCATGTGGAAGGCGTCAACCATTAACGATGTTTACTGTTGACGCGTCCAAAATGGGTGCGGGAATTCTAAAAAATGGTCACCAGAAAACCGCCGCATCATTCCCTTGCACCAATCTCTTCCTCAGAATCCCCCCAAATCCGCCAAACCAAACCTATCCGTCCTTGCCATAGTTAGTGTGTCAGCGACGAACATTTTCAGCCCTCCCGGAATGGGGGTTCGCACGTGCTCACATTGGGAGCGGATATGCCAACCTCGATATGCCAGCAAGAAGTGTTAGTAAACGGGGAGGCGGATTACTACGATCGACAATTGGGGTAGTACCCAAATGGGGCTCTCCCCCCTCAAATCCGCCATCCCACCTGTGCGTCCTTTCCAATCAACCCCTCCCGCAGCAGCAACTTTTCGCGCCTCCTTCGCCGCAAGCCTCGTTCGCGCTTATTCCCCATCACCATGGCTCTCACTGCCACTTCCGCGGGCCTTTCCGCCGTCAGCTATTCCGTCAGCAACCGCGCCGTCACAAGCGCAGCCCCGTCCGCGTCAACGTCCGCAACTTCCATCTCCGCTGCGCCACGCGCCTCCCTCGCCGCGACCCGCCGCGCCGCTGCTGCCCCGCGGGGCTCCTCGTGGCTGCGCGGATCTCCCGCCGTGCAGCTTCCGCCGCGCGGGCTTTCGGCGGGATCTCTCGGGGGAGCGATTAAGCCCGTGCGGAGAGGCGGTGGCGGTGGGGCGATGGCGGCGACTGCGGGATTGGGAGATGCCGCGGGGTTGACGGCAGCTGCGTACGGCTCTACGCTGCTGTTCGGCGGCCTCTTCGGATGTGAGCTGCTGCGCGCCGAGCCCAGCTGTCGAGCTAAGCGCCTCGCATGTGTGGAGGCGCCGTATGTTTCATGGAATTATAGATTTCGCATCAGTCTCTCCCGTGTCAGTTCATGGTCCCGAATCCGTTTCATTTCTCGCCCTTCCCCCCGTTCCCCCCGCCTCCGCCTCCCCTGCCTCCCCCTCGTTGTCCGTCACTCTTTCCGCCTCGTCCTCCCCCAGACAGCCGCTCGGGCTGCAAGTACTCGCTGGGAGGCGCGCTCACAGCCGCTGCTCTTTTCGCCACGGTGCGTTGAAGCAACGTTGAAGCAGCGCTGAACCAGCGCTGAAGCAGCGTTGCCCTTCATCTTTCGCTAATCCTTTTCCATGCCAAGTCCGCGTCTGCCACGGCTGACATAATCTGGTGTCTTCTCCATGCGCTGGCTTTCGCCACACAGCCAGCCAGCATGACTGCACCAGTCAAGTGAATCCCACTCAAGTCAACCAACCAGCCGCGCAGATTGGCTGCTGGCACCATTCAAGCAGCCCTGAGCAATCGACCGGAAGAAACACTGCTCCATGCTTGCCAACTCTTCTGCCGCATCCTCCTCCCACACTCACAAAATCCCCTTTGGATTCGCCGCCCTCCCCACCCCACCCCTCCCCTCCTCCACTCCCCCCCCCCCCCCCCCCCCCACCACCCGTCGGGCATGGCATGGCATGGGCAGGCCTTGTATCTCATGCAGAGCGCTCAGACGGAGTCTCTGGGCAACGCTTTGGGCTTTGGCGCTGGCCTGCTCTTCTGCGCGCTCTTTGGTCAGTCGCTTTCTACAATGCAATGCACACTCGCTTCTTCCTCCTACCCGCCCCCTCTTCCCTCTCCCCCACCCACACTCCACTTTTGCCTCTACATCTCTGTTCCCCAAGACCTCTCCCTCTCTCTCTTCCCCCCCACCCCCCCCCCCTCTCTCTCTCTCTCTCTCTCTCTCTCTCTCTCTCTCTCTCTCTCAAACGGTCCTTTTTTGGCCACTTGAATGCTGCCTTCGTCTCTTCCTTTGAAAGCACTCCAAGTACGTGCTGCTTCTCTTACTCCTCTCACCCATCTCCATCATCCCCAACCATCCCCCGCTTCCCACCACTACTACCACCACCACCGCCCCAATTTCCACCGCTCACGCCCCTGCAGCCGTCCGCCTCTTCCTCCCAGGAAAGAACATGCCCGTCGGCCCTCTTCTTGCCTTGAGTGCTGCGGCCACTGCTGTTTTTGCATCCGCCTACTTTGGCGTATGATTTTACAGGAGGAATCTGTAATTTTCGTGTTGGGTGCTGTAAAAACACTTTGCAATGCAACCTCAGCAGGGCTAGTTTCATAGGAGGCATGATGCAGAGTGGATTGGGAGGTGTAGGATAAGTCAGTGTGCGGCCTTGCGGCAATCCAAGTTGTAGCGTGCATTGTGGACAGGACTAAAAACGACATGATATTATAGGGTATGTCT